GGGCTATTATGAAGCACATGCATAAGACTTCACTCCTTTCTCTCAGTTAACATAGGAAACAAACCCACAAACACAAGATTCTTACTTCTGGACAGCAGTTGTTTAGCTTTCTTTCCATGCAGTATACATTACACTTGTTTGTGTCCATGAATACTCGGGGCGGGAGAGGGGGGGAGTTTTACTAGAATCTGACAGAAAGATGAGCACATTTGCTGGAGTGGCTACAAACTTCATCCAACTTCTCATGAAGATTTAAGATTTTTAACTGTCTATTAGAACTTTTGCTGCAAGTGCAACTTCCAGGAAAAGCCCAAGCTTTTAAGAGACCTTCTGATCCAGGGGAAAAAGGAAGACACTTCTGGTTAACAGTTTTGTTTGTGAAAGTTGACACATGGCATAATCCCTCAACAGACACTTTCAAAAGCAGACTTCAGCCAACAACTGCAGCCATTTGCGTTGCTGCATAGCAATGAAACATCATGTTTGCACGAGCCATGTTATTTGCTAATGGAAGTGTCAAGCCAAGAACTTTCCCAGACTCTTGTCCATTCGGTTTGTGATCATGTGAGTCTATGTCTGTACCTGTGACAAGGTGGCACTTCTGCTCCTGGTAACCTACTAGAAACATCTCATGGCAGGATAATGTTGAAAAACAACATAATGATTTAGAAAACTGGTTGTTGATTTGTCAGAGTTGTGTTTGTGAAACATGTAACAAAATTTGAGCTAAAGGGGTTACGTTTAGTGGAGGTGTATTACAAACAGATACCATCCAGTAAATCATCCAAGACGATTCTCCTCACTGAAGAGAGCCCATTAACAGATAAAAAAAGAAAGCTCAACTGCTTCCCATGGGCTTTCGGCTTTACCGTGCCACTCACCCTGACAGGAGATCCTGATGCTTCCATTACAGCTACGCCCTAACTTCCACTACCAACCTCTCACTCCATCAAGTGAACAACTTCCATTTTAGCACCGCAATGGTACTTTAATAATACATACCCACTCCACAGAACAAAACCCAAGTAATGCCCATCCCCCTTACCCCTCCAACCCACCACCCAACCTTTCATGGATTTCAACGGGAGTTAACCTGGGTTCTTCGTAGGTGCCTATGCTCTCAGCATTACTCCTTATTGTTAACAAAACCTGTTTCACTTCAACTGCATTGTTTGAGAGTATGTCCACAGCATTCTTCCCAGAAACATGTCTGCAATAACATGACAGTGAAATTTTAGCTCCATGAGTTGTCCTGTAAGCAAAAAAATCACAAGCTACTTTTAAAAGTAGATATTTGGTGGGGGTGCGAGTGAGTCTGTGTGTGTGGAGGTCGATTAAGAAAGCAAGCCGCAGCCTTTTGCATCACTATTAAAAATCAACTTCTTTCTGATAACCAATTGTGATGTGCAAAATCCAAAAAGCAGGTCAGTATGCCTTTACTTTTTCCATGGTCAATGGTTGCTTCTCCCACCATCACATACCTCCTTCTCCTCACCCTTTTCCACCTCCCCCCTACCAAATTCTGGAGAACACATCTCCCTTTTTTTTTTTTATTTGCCAGCATGTAGGTTGAAATGTCTTAAACATGAATTTGAAGGTTTTACAGATCTTTAATGTAAAGAAAGAAAACACTCAATCCCAAAATGGGCTTTCCTCCCAAATATTTTAGCCTGCAATCTGTAAAACTAACTTGCAAATTCCAAAATTACTTGTGGATAAAAGGAAACCACCTACAGTCAATTCTCGAGAACTTAAACTCAAAAACATCTTTCTCTTAAAGCTAGAATTGTGAAGTCTTTCAGAAGACACTGTACTACAGTGAAGAAACAAAAGTCCATTCTTTCCATTGTAGGTCATCCTTTAAGGGCTATAAATAATGGAAACACACATAGAGCCTCTTAGTACTTAACTTGTTACCTCATTACTTTTATAAAAACTATCTTATTCTGTTTCTAAACAGTAACAAGGCATTATTAGAAGACTTCTTCTGTAGACATAGCTTTATGGAGGACAATCATCATTAGTTCCTACAGCCATCTGAAGCCAGTAGTCCAGATTTCTAAAAATGACAAAGTTGTACAAGTTTTCTCCTCCCTTGTGGAAACCATGTTCGCTTTCTCTCCAGGAAACAGGGCTGTCTGCAAAGCCATGCACAGTTAAGGTCAGCCAGTACGCCAGTTTTGGTTCACCAAAATAGCAACTGCAAGGAAGAAGATGAGGTAATCAATAATTATAATGGAATAGACAGCATGCTCAAGTATACAATATTAAGTAAAAAAAAAAAAATCAAAGACATAGGCACTTTATTGAAAATTTGTAATTAACAGTTAAAAACCCCTGCTTTAGTACATAATAAATAAAAGTCAAAAGAAAATATTCTATCAGAAGAAATTAGGAAATGAAGCAAGATTGACTCCTGATTATTTCTACAATACTTTTATAGGTATGGCAAACCTGCAAGTTAGAGCAATCAGAAAAAGTTCTAAGTTCTAAAGTAGCTGTTCTGAATTTCCCACAGCTGTCTTTCAGAAAATAGAACATTTACTGAGAACAGTTGCTATCAGGGCAAAAAAAGACATTGGAGGAAGAAACATAGTCAGGCTATGCTTGACACAAATACTTTTACCACCAGAAAGGAAATGGATTATAAATAATCAAAGACAGACATGATCCACTGCTTTTAAGTAGAGAATAAAAGCCAAGGAAATTTCTCTTCCAACCCTAGCCTAGGGAGGCTTTCTGCATGAGATCTGAAAATTGCTCAAAGAGTAATGATCATATTCTAGATAAAGCAACAGCAATGTCATCATGAGTCAGTCCTACAATCATTAGCCACCAGGCACTTGAAGAATTCTTACACATGGAGCAAGGAGCTTCCAGAATATGTTATCAGTAGCACTAATATACAACACAGGCAGATACCACAGTGATCCACGATACACTAGTATCTTGTAGTTGGTATTGAATTAGAGCTACAGCTACCCCATTCAAGTTACAATACTTAATTCAAAAAACTCACTATAACTTATTTATTGTAATGCCGTAATAACCTTGAAGTACCTCGTGCTACCTTTTTTTGTCTCATAAAGGGATTTCAACCATATTTTCCATCAGTAGTTAAAAATACTAAATTAGATATATTTGAGGGCATCTGATTTTCATAGGCAGGGGGAATTTGAAAAATACAGGAGCTTAGCAGGGCCACTATTTCTAAGAAATTAAGACAAAAACCAAAGTCATTACTAGAATACAGGGCAGGCATTTTCAAATCTGAAGTATCCAAAATTGTTTATTGCTTTTGTTATAACAATGTCAAGCTTCCAGCTCATTTCTTGATTAAAAAAAGTCTTAATTTTGTATATTTTGCTATTTACCTCCAACAGCATTACTGAAACGAAGTATTTAAAAGTGATTTTGAAAATTAGAAAGTGTTAGAGTATCAGCGTTTTAGTAATGTACTCCTGTCAGCCCTTACCACAGCTGCTCCAATAACTGAATTATCTTCTCTGGAATTATAAAGCCTGTGATTGTACACAAAAAAGCCTTTTCCACTATTGTGTTGGGCTGAGGACAGCAATAGGTTGATAAGAAGCTAGATGATTTGTTGTCTCTGGGAAAAAAAAACACAACAAAAAGCAACTAAATTAAATATACTTTAAATTGTCTACAGGAAGCCTTAGTAATCCAGACTTATACCAAACAAGTAGTATCTATGTATATAATTTAAACTAATACCAAAGCAACTAATGGCCAAGCAATACATAAGATGTCACGGTGCTGTGGGTTAACCCTGGTAAGCACCTAAACACCACACAGCTGCTCACTCACTCCTCCCTAGTGGGATGAGGGAGAGAATCGGAAGGGTAAAAGTAAGAAAACACATGGGTTGAGATAAAGACAATTTAATAGGTAAAGCAAAAAGTTGCGTGTGAAAGCAAAGCAAACTAAGGACTTCATTTACTACTTCCCATCGGCAGGCAGATGTTTAGCCATCTCCAGGAAAGCAGAGCTTCATCACGTCTAGCCGTGACTTGGGAAGACAAACGCTGTAACTCTGAACGTTTCCCGTCCTTCCTTCCCCCACCTTTTATTGCTGAGCATGCCACCATACGGTGGGGGGTATCCCTCTGGTCAGCTGGGGTCTGCTGTCGTGGCTCTGCTCCCTTCCAGCCTCTTGCCCACCCCCAGCCCACTCGCTAGCAGGGCAGTGTGAGAAATAGAAAAGGCCCTGACACTGGGTAAGCACTGCTCAGCAATACCTAAAACATCCCAGTGTTGTCAACACTCCTTTGGTCACAAATGCAAAACACAGCACCACATTAGCTACTATGAAGAAAATTAACTCTATCCCAGCCAAAACCAGTACACATGGGTACCCCTAAAAAAACAGGTAAGTTATTCAAGACTTACAACAAACACCTAAGTGCATGTTTTTTTCTTAATTCTTATTTAACTCTTCGTTAAAATAAATTGTGGCTTTCCTTACTTAAGGATTTAAAGATCAAACAAATTCAAGTACTTACAGGCTAACTTGATTCAAGACAGCACCCAGCCATTCAAACAGTTCCTCTGTGCTGCAGGACTCGTCTGGCTTCCCTTGTAGTTCATTACTTTGTAACACTGGACACTGCAAGTCCCTTAATGTGCTGAATGTTATTTTTGGCTTGAGGGCCTTTATTTGGTTTTTTGAAAAGTATGACATCAATGTTGGTCCCTCTGCACCTTAACAACAAAACATCACAAACAGCTGTTATGAAACTACCAAACAAAAGGAGCACTAAATACATGACACATTTGTACACCTATACAAGAAAATGCAGTGTGTTAAAGTGCTTACATGCTGTTATCTTTGGCAAAAGTCATAGAATCTTCAGCTTCCTTATCTTTTTGGAAATAAAAATTAATGCAAGATCCAGCAACTTAGTATAGCTCAGTAAATTTACTATTTAACTAGCAAGTATAGATCTGTCAATAGAAAATTCAAGCAGAACTAACTGGGCAAGTAATAAAATGAACTCATTAGAAAGAGGAATTCAGAGTGTTCCTCAAAAGGAACACATGCAAGGGAGCAGGAACACATTAACTGCTCCTCAAGACAAAGTGGTCTGCAAATGCACTCACACTGTATGTATACCCATATCTATATACACCAGGCCAGAGAACATTTCCCCTCACTAGTGCCCATACACGCATTCCCTTCACGCTTATGCACAGGTACTTGCTGCTGCAGAACGACAATGCATGCCTCATACCATTAGGTCATCTTTAGAAATTCCTCAGGCATTGCAACTGGAGAGGGAGAATACATGTGGCAGATGTACATAAAGATAATGCATCTCCAAGATCAGGTAAAGGGAACTAAGCTCATATGAAGAATTAATGCAGCATTCCCTCAAAACCCACCGAGTGTCTAGAGGGATCCCAGCATCACTAGTTCACTAAGAACTGCCTCCTAGAGACAGTACGGCTTCTAGAATCATGAACAATTCCAATGGAATACATTCCTGCAGATCTCAGAATACTTTGCGAAAAGCTATAGTGTCATTTAAATTCTCCTGAAACATGCCTTCACAACCGCAGAAATTTCCCTTCTCGTTGTCCTGAAAGGCACTCAGTCTTCAGCACATTAAGTTAGTAGATCTCTCAGTTCTCTCAGCCGAGGACAAGAATGCGTGAGAATCCTTCTGAGAGGTCTTACCTCATCGCTAAAGACCACATACTTGATTTCCTAAGTGCGATGGCAAACTTAATTTCAGAGCCATAAGGTTTTAAAAAAAACCTCTTGATTTACAGTAAATTGAGGAATCACCTTCAGATAAGGTATATTTGGCAGGCCATTAAGTGCGACGGCAAACTTAATTTCGGAGTCATAAGGTTTTAAAAAAAAACCTCTTGATTTACAGTAAATTGAGGAATCACCTTCAGATAAGGTATATTTGGCAGGCCATCTAGTCCTCAAACCTAGAGACTCTCCTACCCATCTGGCTAAGGTGTCTGCCATCCCAGAACACCGTTTTCCCTGAAGAGTGGAAAAGCAAGTAGGTGACTACAGGTTTGAGAACAGATTTACCAATGATGCCAAGAGGAATTCTAGGATAGTCTGGGGGACAAGGACTGAAGAGAGAAGGAAGGGGAGAGGGTAAAGAAATCAAACTATATCACAAATCTCACTTTACTAGAAGAAGAAAAAAAAAAAGCAGTGATAAGTCTTCAAATGCAGTACGGTTGTAACAGTTAGATGTACCTTGATGGACTTGTGGGAAAGGCCATGTTTCTTCAACTCTAGTAAGTGATCCAAAACAGCAGGTAAAATTCTAAAAACCTAACCTAGACTAAAAAAAACTAACCTAACCTAAGCAAACATACTGCAAATTCAAAGATATTAACCAACTTCCTTTTCGAAACAATAAGATAATTGATGTGGAATCAATTCTTCTAAATTTGAAGGTCCAGATAACATATTCTATTTTCATAAAGTAACAACAGGTCTCTAGGAGACGTGAAATCATACCTTATTCATGAGAAGTCAGGAGTCCAGAATAGCATTTAAATACCACAGGAAAGGCATGTATGAACAGCAGAAATTCAAGAACAGGCTAGAGTTCACTGCAGAATACAATATCCGAGACTTGCTATCAAAAATTATGGACTGCCTAAACTTCATCAGAAAAAGGGAGGGCTAACCTGATCCTTTTTAGTCATCCTTCAAAAAAGGCTGTCCAAGTACCAAAGGGCACAGTGACAAAGACAGGTAGCCACTGACCTCTTGTTAATTTAGTATTTTTATACAGATATACTTAAGTATGAAGTGTGCTAGAACAGACAATTTTCCTTCAGCTCGTACCTCCTATTGGCATTTGTTAGACTAACAGGTTCAAAGAATGTATAATACTGCCCTAGAATTCTTAGTCCAATATAAAAAATTATACATTTTAAATGTCCACTCTTTGGGAGCCTCAGCAATAGCCCTAACTTCAGGAAATCTCGAAGACTACAGTCAAGACTCCAACAGAACAATTCCTCTAGCAACATTAAAGCTTTCCATGTCAACAACAACCAGGCACACTGTGAAGTTTTGTTGGAGGCCAGTGAATTTCAGCCAATAAACATTTAAATTTGCCATAGAAATTACAGCAACAGAAAAGAGAAGAAAAGATTGTTTTGCCTCTTGTCATTGAAGACAAGAGATACTTCATATTCCCTTTTTCTGTTCCTCTTGGTGCCAGAACTGCTAAGTGGGAAAAACAGGTATGAAAACAAAAAATCCTCCTTTTGGAAAGTGACACGAATGTTTATAGGTTTGCAGCAGTGCTGGCCATAGCAAAAAACACCAGTTATTGGCAGAAAGGCTGAAAGCAGAATGTTCATGGAGGACATGGACTCTTTCGACAAAATACAGCCCTCTTTTCCCCTTCCAGCAGAATCTACACAATGCCTCATGTCTATTAATAAAAATCTATAAAAGCTTTATTTTTGTCAGTACTAAGGAGCTAAGAGTCTTTCGTGTGTTACGAGCACAAGATTCCTACACAGAAAGGCATTCAGATTTAACTCCATGTTCAGGAAATGATTGACCTGACCTGTTTTGGGGGTGTAAGAAAGTGAGGAAAAGGAATGCTATTCTTCCTGAATGCTACTAACACTGGCAGCAATGAACGTAAGAAACATACTGGCCCTAGAGGCATTTTGCTCTCTGCTGAGGGCCAATAAATCCAAGCAAGCTGAGCCTGAAGATTCGCCACCTTAGTTGGACTTATGTCACCATTTATGGTAGCAACAGTCTTCACTGTGACTCTTTCCTGAAGACTATAAGAAAGGGAACTGCAAGCTTATAAACAATTTCTGTATGACAAACAAGGAAGGATCCTTGTCATATGATTAGTACTTAAAAAGGGGGAGAGGAAACATGCAGGGCTAAAGTGAAACATGGGACACTGCTAAAGCAGATTGTAAGCAGCTTTCATTTCTCAGATCAGTTAACTCCCTCTCAGACTTGGTCTTGAAGAGCAAGGAAAGAGTAAGAATGTAAAGAGCAGATGGGAAAGCATTCTCAGGGACCTAACATTCCTTCTTCCTAGAGTGGAGACTCAAAGCAGAACCACGGTAAAAGCTACACAGCTACAATGAAAAGAAACATTTTTTTGCAGTACAGACTCCTGCAGTTTTTGTCAATTCTATGCAAATACTACATATCCCTAAATACAGTCTGTTCTGAGGTAATACAAGCAACAGAGGACTTTGGAAAACGACCACCAGAGGAAGAACAATACTTAAATCCCAGAAGAAAAATTAATGTAATTAGAAAACAGTAGATAAATGAACAGTAGAAAAAAGGCGATTTGAGACAATACAATTTCTTATAACAACAACATTTTACTCTGCTCCAAGCTCAAACAAGTGCTTCAGGATAAAAAGATAATATAGGAGGCTGTGTGTGTATCAGTGTACATGGCATATGACAGAAATAGGGACTCAGTACATGTCCTATAACTCCTGATGAAATCAAAGTTCCCCATCTCAAGTACTACACCAAATATATACCTTATGTGTATTAATAAAAAACTCAAAAAATGTGTATTAATAATGGTTATGCATGTCACAAATTTATAAAGAAGAGGTGTCACTATCAAATAGGCAAAGTTATGCCAGAAAGCCTGGGCAACACAGAGCCAAGGAAATGAAGCAACTAATGGATCTCCTATGAGTCACTGTTGTGCTCCTGAATGGAAACGTTCTGCTGTATAGGAAGTAACACCATCGCGCCCCTCCAAACAAATAAACAAAATAAAATCCCACCCAAACACATTCTAATCTAACTTTTCCCCTCCACGAAAAACACATTTGGACAATCACTAGAAAAGAACAGTAAACTAAAAATATTTGGACTTCATGCCAGTTATATTCTAGTTTTACACTTAGTTCTTCTTACCTGTATTATACCAAGCCAGCAGGAAGTCAAATTCTAAAGGTTTCTTTTCTTTTAATGCCCAAAGCACTCTGTTGTGTTTCTTGCTATCAGGGTGAAAGCTAGAATCACTCAAGTCAATAGTTATAACTGCAAAAATGTACAAAAGCAATTGTTACTCAATTGAAATAAATTTTAATATTAGATTCATTAAGAACCAGAAGAACACAAGAAACCAAAGAACACGAAACTTCCTTTCACATATACAGCATCTTTACAAAGTATTTGATTATGCAAATATGACTCTCCATTATGTCAATAAATATTCACCTCCTGCTGTCCTTATTTTGATATAATCTGGAACTGCCTTCTAGTGACTGGAGGGACAGATTCCTTGTGGAATGGCACTAACCAAAGTCTCAAAACAGCATCTTAAAAGTATCTTGGTAATGAGGCAAGCTATTAGCACTAAAGAAGCTAGAATTTCTAACATCAAGAGTCACAGATATGGCAATGACACTTTTTCAACTGGTTTTTTTCTAGATTAATTGGTCCCAGGCTAAAAGTTACATTTATTTTTCAGACTAAAATTTCATGATACATTTTACTTCACAAACTGAATGGTAAAATGGTGTCCCATTTTGCCAATACTAATTATTATAGATAAGAAGTTTCCCCTTCTAAAGTTTTTACTTAACTACCTAACAAATACTCCAAGTTCTAATACATATGAGATGGCATTGTGTTCATGCTTTTTTAAATTATTCACAAACAACAAATCAACAAAAAAATCACACTCATGATGTCTCCTCTGCAGCTGTTAAAAAATAACATTTTCCAAGTACTTAGCATATAGAGATTACAGTTTTAAATGTGTCTAACGTAATACAATTCTCCCTTTCAACCAAGCAGTCTTGGGTGAGGCTTTTCACTGATTTTTTTGTATAGTGTGCAAATTATAAGCTCTATCTTAATTAGTTTAGTATTTTCCGATTTGAATCGGAAGGCATAGATACTGTACACAGCATACAAAAATTTTTGAGTCCTACATCACTCCAGTATAAACAACACAATGAAAATTAACACAGAAATTAAAAATTTTACAGAATACCCAAAAGATCACACATTTGTTTCCTCATAGCTGCTTTACTATTTGGAAAAAGGTTTTTTTCTCTTCATGCAGTCCTTGTATCTGCAACTGGAAAAATATGACCTAGACAATCACCAATTTTAAGAAAAGGCAAGTTTCAGCATTGCTGGTTTAACATCCTAACGATGTGCTTCACAGACAGATCTGAAATCAGCGCTGTTAATATAAATACTACTTACTGTATCTCATTACTTTTTTTCCAGAATACTGAGAAGGGCGACCTTGCAGTCCAAGTTCCTCATAAGTATCCTTATCCACTGATAGAATTAGTTTTCCTACAAAAAACCCAAATTTTAATACAAATAATCTTCTACTTAGTTCCCTTTGAAGATGCAAGAACCATATACCTTACAAACTGTTAGCTTTGGATCAATGAATTACTAAAGTAATCCAGACTCCTTAGTTCCAGTTAAATGGATTACCAGATTAACACTTTAAAAACAACTCAATTACTCTTTTTTATCACAGAGGTCTTATGAACTAGAATGAGAAAAGTGTAATACTGTTCCTGAAATAGTCATAGCTTTTTTACTGTACTACCTGACTTCATTGCCTCAGTCTTTCTTCCACTTGTCCCCTAGCGTTTACTGTGTCATTGGCTGACCAGTACATTACACTCGGGCCTGATTTAGTAAACATTCATGCATGCACTACTCAACTACACATACAAAAGCAGTTCCTCCAACTCCAGTGGGACTACTCACATTGAGTAAACTATGCTTACCAGTGATGAGCAGATATGCGCTGGAAGAGCTCCAATTCCATGTTCATAAACCAAATCTGGCAGCTGCCACTTGGTACAGAATTTCACACAACAGCTCTCTACTACACCCTTTCAGTTCTACTGTACAAGTAACAGTATAATACAGAATACAAACAAATAAGGCTACTGCTGAAGATTTCACATGGTGACATCACCGGAGCTGTAATGCTTTCTCTGCCTTAGTTGTGCATAGCTTGCAATAACTGTATCAAACAAATGCAGTCACTACCAAGTATCTATTTTGCTGGGACTGTGCTAACAGAGCACATAAAAGAACTCCTCCTCTGAAGAATCTGCATTTACTTATGCCCTGATGGGCACCTCTCATATTACAGTGTCTTCGGCTAGAGGGCCGACAGACCAATTTGTGTTCGTATTATATCTGATATACTGTTTAACGGAAATAAGACGACATATTTGAAGCACAAAATAGCCTCATTGTTTTCTCTGCATGTAAAATCCCACCTGAGATGTGGGACATTTTATGACATTTTGTCATGGATGGAACTGAAACAGAGTATTTTAACATGCTACATAATTCTCACAGAATAAACACTGTATATTTAAGAAGTGTTCCTAAGCAGTGCTGATAATTTGGTACAAATTCTGTCTTTAAGACCAGTAGGAAACAAGAAGTTGGAATGCAATGTTTTCACAAAAATAATTCTTTGTAGCAATTGCAATTACGGTTGAAGCACTGACAATCTGATACTACACAAGTGAAACTAATTTTTTAAAAAAATTTCCTTTAGATGAAAAATAATTTAACAGTATGAATGAAAAAAGTAAGCTAAAATGAGTATTATTCTGATTCAAACATATTTCTAATAAAATTGGCAGGTACAGCAAGCATTATATTTTCCAGTTTACATCATTCCAAATTAAAAAAAAAAAAAAAAAGAGACCATTATCAATACATATTACTAAAAACAAAACACCATACCATACCATTTGGTAGCAGAGCTGCAGTATTATCTTGATCAATTTTTGTGTTATAGGTAAGTGCGTAGCATGAACCTTTAACAGTAAAGCAGAAAACCATGAGATTGCACAGTATCTAAAGATAGACACGACAATGTGAAAGAATCACCTCAAGATAATCAAACATGCCAAATACCATTTGAATCACTCTAAACCCATGTGTTTTCATCAACTAACTTTCTTCTATCTTCTCAAGCAAAATAGTATTTTGTTACTATTTTTATAAACCTTGGACTGCCACTAATTTACAGGACCTGTAATACAGATAACATAAACAATATGTCTCAATATGAAAACACTTTCTTTCCACCTGCAACTTCCCCACTCAGACACACTTCTATTATCAGCTCACATAGAGACAAGGTGGAAGATACTCACATCGCCAAATATATTTTGTAGCATTACCTGCCACAATCAATTTTGTTTTTTAAAATACAAGCATCAGATCCTGTTAACTCTGTGTTCAAATGTCATATTGCTTCCATAAAACTACTGGCATAAAAAACATTAACGAAACTAAAGGAAATAAGAAAAGAGTCCCACATTTAGCAAGTAATGCATCTCTTATTCTCCTGTTTCATCTACATGTTCTCTGTTCTCCTCTCTTTTCCCTTTAAAGCATTTTTACTCCCTGGCAAACATCTGTAGCCAAACAAGTGGGCCCCGCTAGATGAAAACAGCATGCTCTGAGTACGCAATAGCAAGTTGGCTGGGTAGAGGCTGCGTCTTTCTTCACATCCTCTTTGCTCTTGTTGTGCAAGGATGAGCCACCGCAGCTCCATTAGCAAAAAAGAAAAAAAAAAAAGCAAGCATATTTTTTCTCTTTTTCCTTTTGCCTGTTGAACACGGCTAACATAGCTCTATCTTGAAATATGAAGGAATGAGAAAGGCAGAAGGCAGCTGATTTCTGGAGGAATCTGCATAAAGATGAGGTGTAGAAGAAACAGGTGTGAAGATACATGGAAGCCCTCTTGATTGCTGGCTTGCACAATTAAGATGGAATAAGGAGAAATGAAGAGGGAACAATCATAGAAGTTCTGGACCCAGTGGGTGTAAACAAATGTAGAAACACCAGAAAGCAGGAAAAAAGCAGATAAAGAAATTCATATGGAATTTTCTTAGTACTTTTCCTTCCCGTCCTTTAAAATACTTTTCAGAGTAAATAATAATAAATGTATTTTACTGTGTCATTAAAAAAAAATACACTATTACTGCATCTGTCATGTTCCGATTTCCTCCTTACCTTTCTTCACAAAAGCATCAATGAATTCGTGAGCGACCAACTCATGAACCGATAAATTCCTCACCAGGTAGTACTCTCCAACATCCGCAATAGTACTTTTCAGCACTTCAGGCAGTATGCCACATTCAGGGATCAAAAAAGACACCTATTATGAACATATTTGTAATATAAATCATATCCTAAAATTTGTTCTGGAAGAAAACCAAGAAATACAAAAGAAAAACTCTACTTTGCAAAGACATCAGTATACTATATGAAGAAAAAAAATAATATCAGGCTATTGTCTTCAAAATTCATCAATTTGCACAAAGTCTCTAGGTACACTAAATATATTAATTTTTTTTGTTTGTTTGCATTTTACATGCTATACAATAGCATTTGAGGTGTTACGTCAAGGCATGATTTTACACAGCATAAGTTAACTAAAGTTTCAAGTCATTATAAATTTAGCTTGATGTCACACTGGAACATTTCCTTCAGCCCTTGCTGAAGGAAGCAGTTACAACTAAAAATGTAGGCTAAGCATTTATGTAATCTCAGTGGAAAAGCAAAGATCAAAGTAGAATTTAAACTAGTTTTTGAATCGATGCATTCTCCTCCGTAGAATACTTTGGAGGTCAGAAAAGCGAACAGACCATCAGAACAAAACTTCAAGATGGGCTTACAATTTTCAAAAAATGTCATAAGGTGTACATTAAGGCTACAACTTCTGGCATAGGCTTTCAATATAAGCTAGGAAATGATTTTCAAAAAGGACGAGCACCTAGCTTTTCTTACTAAACTCACCATTCAGTCTTTTTGTCCAGTTGCGACCTTTAATTTCTCTTTTGTTTAAAACCTTTCCTGTACATGTTTCATAGATCAAGACAATTCTTAAGTTCAGGAGACCAGGGAAAACAAGGTTATTACATGGGCAAGCACCAAGCTTCCAAACAACTATGCCCAAGCAGCATAAAGGTCTGTCCCCCTGCTGCTTCTCCCTCCTTCCCTCAAAAAACTTTTTTCCAAAAACTCTCAGAAAACAGGTACGTATCTCCTTTTGCACATACATCCACGAGAAGTAACAACTGACGGATGGGCTGCCTGCCACGCAAGTAGAAAGCTTTCCAATTAGCTGGTAAAAAAATTAGTAGGGAAACAGCAAGAGGATCTGCCTGAAATTTGCAAGTCAAAGAAAGGAGAGTGAGCTGGCAAAAACTGGACTTCGCAACATTAAGTTGGCCAAAACAACAAAGCAGTTGATGATGGCACGACGTGATACTTTGGTAGAAGCGGGGACACCCAGAGAGAGAGGACTTTCAGGGTACACTTTCAGCTGAAACCTCCCTCACTGCTGAGGGACTCCCTCAGTCCCTCACTGCTTGGACTAGGAATTGGCGGGCGTTGCCCCCTGTATGCCTCGCTGGGTAGCACTGACAAACCCTGTCACCTCTTCCACCGGCTCACCACTCTTCTCCTCCAGCTCGTGTCCACATGGTCTTTGAGGTGCTGCACGAGACCACCAAACCAAGGGGAGCTCATTTTTCTTTTTCTTTTTTACCCCCCCCCAAAAAGAGGCGTGCAGGCCACCTTTGGCAAGGATGGGGGAGACCTTCCAGAGCACAGCCCGGCAGGAGGTGGAGCACCAGCAACGCGCGCCTTTCAGCGCCGACAGGCAGAACCACCGCGTCCCCGCCGCCCGCGCTGAGGGGATGACTCGGTCTCACCGGGGAGGCACAGAAACCCCCGCAGGGCCACGCACCGCCCCACGCGCCCTGCTGAGCCCCGGGCC